AAACCTGTCAGCAGCTGCGCCGCCATTCATTGAACAAATAAAGCACATGTAATTCGAATGTATTATTTTACTACACAGCCTTTTTTGACACAGCTGCTACAACATGTTGAGAAAACCACGTCCAAACACCACTGGTGATAATCAGTGAAAACAGCTTTTGTTGTGGAGCTGTCAACATGCATATGACCCCAGTTGACACCTATTTTGTCCGACCAAGAGCCCAGTGATGAAACAAAACAACGTTAAGCATTTCTCTGAAAACTGCTAAACAAGTAAATGATTATGAATTTCTTACCACATTTTGGCTGATGACGACACCAATTAGCTTAGTGACTAATCAACCTAGGTGACTGCGCAGTTATCTAAAGTCAGAGAACTGCTGACTTGTTGGTGAGCTTTTGGGTTAACTGATACGCTGACTGACATAAATTTAGGCTCGTCTATTAATTTATTTGATAATATGAGGAACTATTTTCTTACTGGCCAAACAGAATAACCTAGCCCAAACACAGTAACTCCAAATAGACGGGGGCATGTACTTATTTCTAATAATAACACATGGCGATGGTGAGTTTCTTAATGATAGGATGCACTTTGTGAAACACACACACACACACACACACACACGCACACACGCACAATTCCTTCTAGCCTTTAAACATGAGTCCAAGAACAGAAACGCAAACCCCTTCAGCCCATCAGGAACCCGCACCGCACCATCAGCCAACTGCAGCCATAATAAACCTACTACATAAAAAAGAGAAATCTACTGAGCACTTACAGAAGTGAGCATAAATATTTGATCACGCTATAAATACATCGTAAACACTGTTAAAAGAGAAAAATGGCCTCTCACAGCAAAAGATCAGAAGAGAGCTGCCTCCACTGACGAAGCCTTTTAATTAGATACAGTGCTAAGGATGAAAAGTGAAGGTAAAGACAAATTCGTTTTGAAAAACCTTCAGCTGAAACGTCCAGGTAACCACACTGGCTGTGTGTCTGCGGTTTTCTTCACAGCTTTGAAAATAGCGCAGGCAGAGAAACAGACGCAACATTAAATCAGTGAAATAGGCCTTTTTAATAAGCGCACATGAGGCCAGATATTGCTGCACCCACCCTCGACAAACACGGACGGAGCGCGACTGTTTTCAATCAATTAAATGAGAAACAGAACTAAAAATGATCCACCTGCATTTTGAGCACCAGTAGAGGATATTTTATTATTCCTACTCTTTTATTCCATCAAACTGGGCGATGCCAACATTGGAAATGCTTATAACGGCCAAATCCTCCGTCCTGGGTAACAGGACTGGAAACTATAAACCCACTTTTAAATATTATTTAAAAAATGAAGAATAAAATGTTTATAGGAAAACATGAAGCTTCCGTTTTAAATCAACTCATTTGAATTCGCAGATATTTTAGCATAATGAGAGCGAATAAACCTGACACGTTTAACCACAAAAGCCTGGCAGCAGAGTCCGGACAGTGTAAACACACAGAACATTTGTCTAAGTGATTATATGTCCGTGAACATGTTGGTCTTTTTCTTTGATTATTGTGCTATAAACAGGAGAGCTGCACGCACACTGACAAAATATACCACTGATTTCAAAGCTTTGAACAAAAAACTGCTGCTTCGAAATCACCAGGGAAATTTTGAAGTTGCATGACTGACACGTTTAGTATTGATTGGCGTCCATAATCCTAAAAGGTCCAGTGTGAAGCCAACCCGCTCTGACATGTTTAGCACTGGCAGAAGTGGAATAAATGAATGAAACCATAGTTCTTGGAAAGGGAACTATCCCATGCCATTTATTTCTACGTGTGACGATGAGGCGTCTTTGATCGGAGCTATGTGGTCTAAGGCTACTCACCTAAGCACCCAGACTTGTTTCCTCTCTTTCACGAACACAAACGGTTTTAATTCAGCAAGATGGCAATGACCTGGATGGAAGCGCATTTGTCTATCGTCTGTCTACGCTTGTTATATTATATTATGTTATAAATCCCGCATGTAAAAGCTGAAAAATATCGTCACTGTGCTGGTTTCCTCCTTCAAAGTCCCGTGACTGTGGCGGCCCCATTAACAGTTCCACATTGTGTCCCTGTGTGGACGCAAAGCTGCGCCTCATGGCAAAATAGGCAGAAGAAAAAAAAAAACAAGGGAGTCCTTATGGAAATGCATGAACTTGTAAGTGATGTAAATGTCTTGTATGTATTATCCGTCACACAGCTGGCGCCGTGATTTCGTGCTAGAGGGACTGAAGGGAAGTGGGCGCCACATTCACCGCTGTCACCAGTAATGAATTAAAGGAAATGGAAAACACCTTCCTGGATAAAACAACAGCACGGACGCTTTGATCCGAAGAGCAGCAAGGAAGGAGAATTGAACCCCCAGCCCTGGGTGCGTCACAGCATCACACCTACAGTTTCCCCATCCACTTTAGACATGGATCAAACAGCCTTTGCAGATAAATCCTAAGATGTTCATCGCTTGTTTGGCATTTTCCTGGTGCAACGTAAAGGCTCACATGCTGTGTTATACTGAGGGGAAAATGACACAAGCCTTGGGATTATGAAACATTTTAAAGACCTATTACATATGAAACCTTTACGAAGCCAATTAAATAAGCCCTAAACAAATGCATGGCAGTTGGCAGTTGACATTTTGGAGGAAGGAGGCACGAGGTTTCCACTCGACAGCAGATTCCATTGAGAGCCGAGGTAAAAGACACTAATGCCATTACAGACATACATTAAATCTTCGACTTAATCAGATTTGGATTCTCTCTCCTTCTCCCTCTCTTTAATTTGTTTTTCATTTTTAAGTCTATACAGAAAAAAGAACGATCTGCCAACATTGTCAACCACAGCGCAAGTCATAAAACGGGCTCATATTCAGGGTTTAGAGTCAAATTCGAATAATAAACCTGGAGCTTGGGGCCTCGGGAGTATTTCAAGACAGTGAGTAGGAGACTCTGTCAGTGCTGGGGTCATAATATAAAGGTGTGGGGGTGTGGGGGAGGCGACATCCCTCTTTATGATACAGCTAGTGAAATATACCCCCCCTCCCCCCTTCATTAAAGGGACATTTCGGAGGTAAATGTGCAGGATAACCGCCCCCGCCTCTACGCTCCATCGTCCCGTTTTATCCACAAAGCCCATCCGCCTTTTTCTGCTACTGTAGGCTAACTAATAAATCCTCAGTCCGAGAAGCGATAATATCCCATCAAACCCTGCACGGGTGCGCACAAAGCATTCCTGTACCATATAGCTGCACGGCTTGACACGCCTGGATTCCTGTTTTGACTCGATTGTTCGAAGCTGCCTTCCCCCCCCCCCCGGGCCCCCCCCGCCATTAAACCCGAGTATACTGTTTGAAAACTATTAATCAAGGAACTAATCACTGTCATCGTAGGTAGAGAAGGGTTGAAGCCCCTAAGAAGTCGTTTTCAGCCTCGAGCCTGAGCGTGGCCGGTCATATTTAAGGCTGGGAATGATTTGAAGAGCCGTTACACACTCAGGGGAGCAAGAGGAGACGAGTGTTAGGGAAATATAACAGAGGCTTTAAAGATGTAAATTATGACAATTTACTTGGCGACCAAACAGGAAAGCTTCAACACAGCCACACATTGCAGCAGCACATGCACTGCTGGGAGGCACTGAGGTGCACTCCAGGACACGTTTTCATAATCTTATAAAACCGTGTGCAAATATATTATTACTGTTAGCTGTCGACTGTGCAAAGGTAATACTAGTAAGGATGAAAAGGAAGCAGCTCTGTGTACAAATCAGAGTTTTTCTTCTATTTTATGATCATAGTCATGTCATGAAGCCACAAAAGTCCCGTACAGGCCAAAACCCGTCTGCAGCCGCACTCTAAAAAATACAACCGCGAACATAGGCAATAAACTCTCCCTCTCTCCCTCTCTCCCTCTCTCCCATACACACACACGCACACACAACAGTACAGCACAAGAAATATGGGTTCAAACTAAATAGGCTGCTATACATGGCAATCCATTCACTGCTCTCTCTCTCTCTCTCTCCCCCCCCTCTCTCTCTCTCTCTCTATCTATCTAAGTCCATCTTACATACACACAAAGATGCCTTAATGCATAATCAGCCTTACTAGGATATTTATCATATATATAGTCACACATATTTTAAATCTTTAATTGCTCTTGTATAATTTATAATCTAATCGAATTGATCAAATCGGGCCTGATCCATATTCACAGGCTGTGAGTGCCACAAACACAGTGTTCACCCATGCACACACACACACACACACACATACACACGCACGCACACACACACCTACATGTACACACAAGACACAAAAGCAAACCAGCCCAAATCTGAATCCCACATTTCTTGAGGGATGATTTTGATCGCTGAGTCAACAGACGTGTTGAGTTTAGAGGTCACCCACGCTGTGGAAGTGCTATAAAATACCTTCTTTTTGGTTTATTCTCTCTATACACACGCACACACATGCTGTAGCTCCTGCTTTAACCCTGTGGGGAACTGGCCATCGTGTAGACAAATAATCGCGGAGACCACAGGCAAGTCGTAAAAGTGAAAAAGCAGTAAAAGTTTCAGCCGGGTCAAAGCTGCATGACTAAAACGAGTGTGTGGCTGGAAGCTGCCTCCACCAACTCTCTCCTGTATGCTCTCGGTTTGTAGAGGGGGTTCTGTGTGAGCTTCTCTCCCCTGACCTCGCTCCAACGTCTCTCACGTATTTTTGCCTGCTTGTCTCTCGCCCTCTGAGCTTCCCGTCCCTTCTCTCAGTAAATGGCCGGGGCTATTAAACCCTAATGTCTTTCACAAGTTTTGGTGCTGTCAATAAAACCATAAACGTGCTTTTGTCTCCCGCTTCGAAGAAAAAACAAAAGCACGTTTTCATGAAGCTTTAAAATACTTAAATTGCTGCTTTTAAACCCACTTTTTCAACTTCCCCCCACTGTTTCCTGCTCTCTGTGTGCCTACATGCTCCGTGTGGTCCTCCTGACATGGACACTCACCTCGGCACGGATGCTTTGAACAAGGCAAATGACAAAAACAACCCTTGTGGAAACTCTCCGTTTCCTCACCTTGCGGCCTCATCCAGGGAAACAGCTGCGTCGGCGAGGGGCTCTGCTCGGTTCCCTCCGCGTCCTCGCCGCCGATCCCCGGCGCACCTCCCAGCTTACAGTCGCTGTACTGGACCAGATCAGCGTCCTGGGCCCCGAAAAGCGTCTGGCGCTGCAGGGCGTCGTATCCGTAGAAGTTGCCCGGCTCGCCGTGGCATGTAACCGCACAAGGGCTCTGCTGGTACGGGTTACTCGGCAGCGTGGAGGCGCTGTGGTGGTAGAAGTCCTGGATCTGCGGAGCGTGCTGGAAAGTGGCGCCGGAGCCCGGGCGTGGGCCGGCTGCCGGCCAGGTCCTGCGCGAAACCACACTCGTAGTAGTTCGGACGTAACGAGTCCCCGCTTTTATATTTGGAGAAGAGCGAGTTGACGAAATATGAGCTCATCTTTTTTTTTTTGTTTTATTGTTGTTGTTTGTGTTCGGCTCGACAGAGTCAGAGAGGGGCTGAAGGAAGCGACCGGCGACTTTCAATTGTGTATTCTTTTCCCCTGCTTGTGTCGTGCGGTGTGAAGCAGAGAAACACCGACACACAGAGAGAAACGGAGGGGAGGGAGAAAGTGAGGCAGGGATGCCGCCAGTGTCGCTGGACCG